AGCCTGCACTGTACTCCACCGACTCCAATCCAACCAACAGACCTTTCCCAGGGCAACATTTTGGAGGAAGCATATAAACGCACATTCAAAGAATTGCATTCCTCAAGCCCTGACTCGGCGACCTCAGCTCGCTTGCTGGCAGTTTCCAGCGAGGCGAGTTGCGGCTGGCTGAGATCTTTGCCCAATACGTCGGTGGGTACCAGATTGGACGACGAAACGGTCAGGACAGCCATTGGCTTCCGTCTGGAGTTGGCCGTTCAGAGTCGATATACATGCAGGTGCGGCGCGGAGGCGGATGAACTTGGCCATCATGGTCTTGTTTGTCGTTTGGGCGGAGGTCGCCAGCAGCGACATTCAGCCATAAACGATTTTGTGTACCGACTTTTCTCCAAGGCCTCGACGCACGACGGTAAGCGCCCTGACGGGTGTACCTTGATCCCTTGGAGAGCCGGCAGGTGCTTGGCGTGGGACGTTACCGTTCCGGGCACCTTTGCTGAGCGCTACGTGCAGCTTACTAGCAAAGAAAGCGGTTTGGCTGCAACCAGGGCATCTGACGAGAAGATCAAAAAGTACGACGGAGCTCTCCCCTCGATGGAGTTTTTACCGATTTGTATCGAAGTCCTCGGCCCCATGGACCGTAACACCTCCGGGTTTTTCAATCGGATTTGTAAAAATATCAGTATTAGGTCAGGCGATAGTAGGGAATATTTTTTTGCTATGAATAATATCTCGTGCATTCTGCAGCGGTTTTTGCGCGTCTGTGTGTTGGAAAATGTGGAGTTGAATGCCGACGGGGTTGAGTGACGTTATAGCAAATAAAATCAAATTTAGTCAGACGCTTGGCTTTTGGTGTCATTCGTCAATGATTTGGTTTTAACATACATTATTATTATTATTATTACAACTTATGTAGCGCCAATTAAAATGTAAAATTTATCAAAAGCGTTCTCAAAATGCAAAAACATAAACAATGTTAGGATGAAAACAAATAAGTCCTTAACAGCCTTCTAAATGTCAACAAATTCAGACCAGGATCCCGTAAATGGCTTGGGAGATTGTTCCATATCCTAGGAGCCAAAACAGTAAAATTTCTAGATCCTATTCTTAACTGGCTTGTCTGTACAATCAGGTAATTTGACTCATCAGATCGCAAATTGACATAATAAGGTGCCCTTCGTGTTGTTTTGTCTATCAAATATCTAGGTGCACAATTATTGATGCATTTAAAAATTAATACACAAGTTTTGAACAGAACACGATTTTTGATAGAAAACCAATGTAGTTGCTTTAAAATTGGTGAAACATGGTCGTATTTAAAGGCACCAGACACAACTCTAGCCGCACAATTTTGAATTGACTGTAACACCCAAATGATTTTTCTGGTAAGCCGTTGAACAAACTGTTACAATAATCCAAACGCGAATGAATGAATGCATGCATTAACATCTTAAGAGTATTTTCGTCTAGCGATTTTTTTATCAATTTCAACCTACGTAGTTGAAAAGTGCAAACTCTCATCAATGATTTTATGTGATGATCCAACGTTAACTTAGAATCAATGTTAACGCCCAAACTTGAAGCATTTGTACAGAATTCCACATTTCAATCTCCCTCTCAAGAAAAACTGATTCGTTACCAGCCGTTGCATCTCGAACTCGTTCAATTTTATCGTTAAAAAGTTTTAGAAAGCCATCACTAGTGTGCACCGTTTCAGTCTTATCAATATTGTCAACAGAGGCTTTGAAAAGTAGTTTATTTAGTGCATTCCATAATTGTTTTGGCCTGTTTCTATTCTCATTAACCAAATTTGACCAAAAACAGTTCTTTTTCTTGGCCAAAACCAACTTCTTTGATTTCAGTGCACTAATTCATTTATCTTTTCCATCACTTGACATTGAGTTCCTATAATTTCTTTCGACCTTTCTACAGAGTCTTTTATGCTCCCGACATTCATTATCATACCATGGCACCACAGAATCATGACGACATTCTACTCTGTGTAGCGGTGCAACTATATCTAAAATTCCTATAATTTCTTTCGAGCTTTCTACAGAGTCTTTTATGCTCCCGACATTCATTATCATACCATGGCACCACAGAATCATGACGACATTCTACTCTGTGTAGCGGTGCAACTATATCTAAAATTCTTCTTATTTCATTTTCAAATAGGTCAAACAACTTGTCAACATCTGTACCTGAACATGCTTTACCAATCGGTGAACCAATGACCAGCGAGATAAATTTTTTTCATCAATATGTTTCCACGATCTGATCACCCTGTAGCATTTACTGATTCGTTTCCGTTTAAAAGGCAAACAGCTTTAACCAGCCCGTGGTCAGAATATATTCCACTTGGATAAACCATTACATCAGAAATACACAAACCACTACTGGAAACAATCAAATCCAGTGTTCCACCTAAGTTATGAGTGGGTTGGTCGATCCAATTCTTCAAACAAAAATCATCAAATAACTCCAACAATGATCTGGTATGCGGACATTCTTCTCTATAGACACGAACATTGAAATAACCTACCAAGACAAGATCTGAAACCAGCAAGGACATATTTTCCAAAATAATCTAAGTTCCCTAATAAAATATTAATAATAATAGAACAATACAATACATACTATAAAAATTACACCAATTTGATCTGTGAGTGTTTCAACTGTTCTCTCAGTCTTGTTTAACAATCTCCAACTTGCAGCAAATGAGAAATTTTTTACTGGCCTTCATGCATAAATTGTATGCTTTCATCTTCATTAACTTCATCATACAATTAATAAAGTTCTAGCCAAACATCTCTGGCATAACTTAATGAACGAACTTTTTCATACGTTTCATCGGTCATATTATATTGGTTGACAGAATTATCATAGCATTACAATCTGCTTTATTGAATTTGTTCGAAGCAGTTTGATATTTTGCTATCTCATCTGAGTCATCGTTTAATTCATCTGGATTTTTAATTTGCCATTTACTACGTCCATTGCATCAGGAATGCCGCGTAGTATTACACAAACTCTTGATTTACAGTTCAACCAATTACTGTTGCCTTCTAGGTGTTTGATTTGCACTTTTGTTAGATCTATTTCTTCCTTGTCTTTCAATTTGAACTTTTTAATTAGAATCAAAATATCGACTTTAAGAGAATGAGGAAGCACGTGTTTTCTCTTCACTTCAGTCTTTAAAGAAAATCTTCCGATATTTCTTTATTCTAAATTTTTTTCGTCAAATCAATTAATTGTTAAAAAAACTTTATCTGGTCCCATAACCTGTTAAATTTCTTGATTTAGCCAAGAGAAAATAAATGTATATCATAATGTTTCAAAATAAAACATAAAACTTAACATAATTGTATCATCAAAAAGGAAAAATATTTTTATAGGAAGTTTTTGAAATCAAAGTCATTCATCGATTGTCTGAATTATATTAAGTATAAAAATTTATTTTTAAAGTTGTGTAAGGTTTTTGAAAATCTGCATTATTGTTTTTGTTTAATAAAGTAAAAAAATGGTAAAAAAAAACTTGGTCCATTTTGAAATCGTGTTTGGGTCTTAAAAATAAACCACCATCTTTTGTTATTAATTTAGGCAACGAAATGATTACAGGTAATTTGAGTCTCTGTAACTGTTTTAATAATAAATTTTCTTCTAATGTTGCTTATACATGTAATAACAATAGTACTTTATTTACAAAATTTAAACAATTTGGTCGTGTTAATATGATAAATTCATTTATTTTGTTTGATTGCTCTGAATTTGACATTCTTAATACTGTGACTAATTTTAATAACTCTTCTTCTTCTGGTGACGATTTCATTTCAAATTTTTTCTTAAAATCAATCATAACAAATATCATTTCACCTCTTTGTTATTTAATTAATTTATCATTTAATAGCGGTTATTTACCAAAATGTTTAAAAATTTCTAAAGCTATACCTTGTTTAAATCGGATGAACCTCATGATGTTACTAACTAACTATCGCCCTATTTCTATAATCTCTAGCCTAGCTAAACTTATTGAAAAAATTGTTTTTATCAGACTTACTAATTATCTTAACTCAAATAATTTATAAATTTCTAATCAATATGGTTTTCGGGTTAAACACTCCACCGAGTTTGCTATAGCCAACGTAGTTAACTTTATTTCAAATGATTTATAATCTAAAAAATTTTGTATCAGTGTTTTTTTTGACTTATCTAAAGCTTTCGATTCTCTCGACCATACTATGTTGTTGTATAAATTATCTAAGTACGGTGATAAAGACATTGCTTATAATTGGTTTATTTCATATTTAAAAGAAAGATATCAATACGTTCCGATTAATAACTCTAAATCTTCTCTTAATCCTAGTTCTACTGGTGTTCCCCAAAGCTCCATTCTTGGTTCTCTACTCTTTAATATTTTTATTAATGATTTTATTAATTTATCAAAAATTTTAATAATCATTTTATTTGCTGATGATTTTACATTTTATTATTATTCTTTAAAAATCAGGATCTAACAGACGCAGAAACTGTTACAGCATGCAAGGCAGTAGTACAAAATTATACAAATTAGTAAATAAATAAATACAAAAACGGAGAAAGAAAAATGTTTAAACATGAAAAATTAAATAAAATATAATAAATAATAATAATAAAATAAATAAAAGAAAAGAAATTGACAATAAATATAAAATGAAGTAATGGCATAAAAACGAAAATTAATAAACTAGATGATGACTTAGTGAGTTAGTGAGGTGATCGATAAATAAAAACTAGTTGTGTTAATGATAAAGTTTTATTGAGTGTTTGAGGTGTATTATGTTGAAAGTCTTTTCCTGATATGTAGATTGGGCGGCGACTTGATAGTTATGTTTGCGCTTACGAAAGTTGTGTGTTGTAGTTTTGATTGGTGGTAGTAGAGGATGGATGACGTGGTTGTTGTTATTTTCTATTTTCTTGAACAGCTTTGAATCGAGTGTGTTGAATATCTGAGTGACGGTAGGATATTATGCAGATAGGTAGTTGAAGCGAATTAGTTTTTTGATGAGAGATTGTAGCTGCTGAAGTTGTTGTTGCGTGGCAAAACCAGACCAGGAGGGAGCTGCATATTTGATGCGTGAGATGATAAGTGATTCGGTGATGTCGAATAATTTGACGCCTCTGAGACCATGTGAACGGAGTGTTTTGAGTGCGTGAAATGTTTGAAAGCCTTTTGTGATGATGTAATTGATATGAGGTGCTATATTGAGTGTGGAGGTGAATGTGATGCCTAATATTTTTAGTTGATTTGTGCGAGTGATTGATGGGTGTTCAGGAGGTAATGTTATTTTTTTACGGCTATTGTAAATGATGAGTTCGAATGATTTATTGAGATTAAGTGAAAGGTTGCATTGTTTTGACCATGTAGTTAATGAGTCGAGTTATGATTGGATGGTGTTTGAGTTAGATGATGGGATGATAAGGTAGGTGTCGTCAGCGTATTTGATGATTTGATTTGAGCTATGAAAAGTTTTGAGAGTAGAAGCATTGGTGATAAAGGTAGATGGTCCAAAGACAGAACCTTGAACTACGCTAGAATTAATATGTAGAGTAGGTGAAAGAGTAGAGATAAAGAGAGTAGAATGACTCCTACAAGAAATTGTAAATGTGGTCAGGTAGAGGAAGAGAGGCTAACTTATTTGAAAGTGAGATATGATTGAGAGTGTCAAAAGCTTTAGAAAAGTCGAGAGCGATAAGATGAACATAATTATTATTTTTAGGAAAGATGTTATTGTGGAAGTAAGAGAGATGATTGCGAATGTATATGAACCTGTATGGCGAAATGCAAACTGATCTTGTAATATAGTGGTTTGATGGAGGGATGGTTGAAACATGGATGACCTAACGATGAATATTTCTAGAATACGTGAAAGTATGGGAGTGATAGATATTGGGCGATAATCTATTGGTGATGATGGGTAATTTGTTTAAGGAATTGGATGAAGTGTGCTGGATTGAATAAATGAATGCATTAAGCAGTGATTGTAGAGTGAACTTAAGTGCTGGAGATGAATGGAGGGATGATTTGTAGAAACCATGCTGGGACCTGTACCGGATGGACAGGCCTTCGTTAGCATGTGCAGGACGGAGTATGGGGTAAATTGTTGATGTTGACGACTATTGATTGTAGTTGCTTTTTTTGGTGGAGTCTTGTAGGACGGGTCGGTTGACATGGAAGCAAAGTGGGTATTGAGTGTGTTGGCATCAATTTGCTGTGAAGTTTGTTAAGTTTTATGTTTTATATTAAAACATTATGATTTATAATATACATTTATTTTTCTTTGGACCAAATGTTCTTTGCTTTGTATGTAACTTCACTTTTTCTTTTTCTGTTGATCCGGTGGATAATAAACAAGTCGAGAACGTTGCTTAGTTTATTTCTCTTCTTTTAATGTCTTTCAATATTATATCAATTAATTAAACGATCTACGTAACAAGAAATTTAACAAAGTTGACGTGTTGAATGATTTGTTAGTGCCTCTAATCTTGTTGATTTAGTCCCACATGACTTTGCTTTCACGCTTACTGTTAGTGAAAGTTTTTGAGTTGAAGTTGAAATAGTTTATTGATGTATTTGGTGATCGCTGCGGCTTTGAGGATGGATCCTGATCTCATGAATTTATTTTTTTGGCAATGCAGATATTTGATGAATGGGCTGATGAATGAAGAGTCTGATGATCTGATCGTGATGTTTGATGTTGGGTAGTACATATGGTAAGTTGAGTTGATGATTTTATAAAATTTATCAAAACAGTGTTACAAAAAATTGTGAAATATATATATATATATACATATATGTATATATATGGGCAGAACAAAATTAAGTTCAGCATATGTATGTGTGTATATATGACATATGTGTATATGAAGTCGATGGAAGAATAAGTGTTTGTATGATTGCTTGCGGCTATTCAGATTCATGAACTCATTATAGTTGTGGTGTATGTATGTATATATATACACATCTATATATGGAAGAATAAGTGTTTGTATGATTTCTTTTAGTTACTCAGACTCATGAACTCTATCTTTATAGTTGTATGTATTGTATATATAGATATATGTTTATATATATATATACATATATATATATTTACAATATTCTATAAATTGTAAAAATTATGGTCTATTACCAACATATATATATATATATATATATATATATATATGTTGGTAATATATGTTGGTATATATATATATATATACATATATATATGTATGTATATGTAGTTGATGGATGAATAAGCGTTTGTATGATTGCTTTCAGTTATTCAGACTCATAATATTGTATATTTATATTATATCTTATATTTGTATATATATATACATATATATATATGTATATATATATGTTTATGTGTTTATGTGTTTGTATGTCTATATGTAGTTATGTAGTTGATGGAAGAATAAGTGTTTGTATGATTTTTTTTGGTTCTTCAGACTCATAAACTCTATCTTTATAGTTGTATATATATATATATATATATATATATATATATATATATATATATATATGTTGTTGCTAAAAGAATAAGGGTTTGTATGATTGCTTTCAGTTATTCAGACTCATGAACCCTATCATTGTATATATATGTGTGTGTGTGTTTAATGTTTCATTAATCATGTTTTGTAGCATTACTCTACAGAATTTTCATAATTTAGTTAAATTTTCATGTTTTCATTGTTAAGGTGGCTGTGCCCAATCAGTCACAGTCATCCTGTGCCTCAAACTTGTTTTTTAGTCAAATAAATAATAAATACGTTCGACGTCGCACAATCGCCAATATTCACATCGCAACTACATACCACAACATCGCTACTAATATAATAATTATACTAACTTTGATGGTAACCTCAATCAATCAATCAACCAGTCAGTCAACCAACTAATCAATCAATCAATTAATCAATCAATCAGTTAGCTTGTACAGCGCTTTTTCCGCGATGTTCAACAGCGCTCCTCAATGAATTTTGCAAACAGTTGGGTCTTGAGATCCGCTCTGAACTTTGTAAGTGATGGAGAAGTAGCCAGAGAAGTAGGTAAAGGGTTCCAGAAAAGGGCCAGAAAAAGCAAAAGATTTATCAAAAGATTAAAAAACCTCGCTAGTTTTACGATGCACAAACCCGTTCATATACAGTTATACAATCGAAAGATCCTACAGTTCGACAGACAAGTAAACTTAAATAACCAATATAAAAAATATAATCTAAAGGTTCTGCAGTTCTACAAGGATAAAAAAATAGCTAATATTCGAAATAATATTAAATTGAAATTATAACGCAACTAGACAATTACAGCGGTTTTAACAATATTCTTGCTTTATTTATTACTTGTTTAATTCAATTTTATGCTATTTGTTAGGCCTATTATTTATATTTTGAGTAAATTTTTTGATTGAAGCACTTTGTTAATATATTGTTTTATTGATTTGTTAAATATATTATGTATGACAGTAATTTTCGGGTATTTTTGTTTTTGAGACAAAGTCGATCAAGAGTTTGTCGATCAAGTGTGGAAACATTTTGTGAAAGTTATCAGCAGTACATACCTGTAAAATGTGTAAGAACGCAAAAAAACATTTTTTCAACTAAATTTAAATTTTTAAGAAATGCTATAAAAAAAATTGTGAATTTGAGAAAAAAAACAAATTGCTATCCTTTTAAAAAAAATCAAACCATAAATCCTAGTTTTTGGAATCATGTTAAGAAATTAAGTAATAGCAGAGGAAGTATTTATTTGATGTGGATGATAATGGTAATATAACTTTGCTAGTTGAAGTAAGACTGGAATTACAAACTTCGTCATCCATTTTATAGAAAAACGAACAAAATTGCCAATTTTCAAGAATTGTTGTAGAAAGTGCTGGATTTGTGAGTGAGTATCTCAGTTTTTGTTTAATATTTTTTAAATTCCGGGTTTTCGCCAAACGAATGGAAATTAACAATGTCGTACCTATTTTCAAAAAGGGATCAACAACATTTTACATCAATATTTATCGCGACGACACAAATTTCTCTCTATGAGGACATGGGGAAAACATATAAAGAGCTTTGAGGTTAAACCCAGATCTTTCAGGTAGTCATTTGAATCCGACAAATTTAATCTCTCACCGATCTCACGTATTGTTATTCGCCGGTTTGCATCAACTAATGCCTTTATCGCATCTTTTCCAGCTTTAATCTCCCCTTCCAGGACGTGGTGCATCTTCGACATCAAAATTACCGGATGGAAATTTTGCAAACCAGTTCTGGCACTGGCGTATTGTCAACACATCTTCTCTATACATATCGGTTAAGTTCTTTCTGGCTTGAATAGCATTTTTACCTCTTCTATGGTAAAAATGTAAAGCATGACGAAAATGCTTCTTATTGCTCTTCATATTTCAAGGGGCACCGACCAAAAACTACTGTGTAAAATCAATTGAACTTATTCACACACGAGCCTTGCACCACATCAGATGTCAAAACATATAATGACATAAGTGTGAAGTTAGCTGTGAAAAAATGCAAATGAATTCTCGGTCGGGATAAAACGTATCACCCGAAAAAATGAATATCAACCATAGGAGTATCCATCTCCGGTTTTACCACAATAAAATACGATAGTAAGACGTTTGATCATAAAAAAAAATCAATAAAATGTCAATTATTACAAAAAAATGTTTAATGTTTACGCGTTTAATTCCATAGAACTAAGAAAAATTATTAGGCAGGTAATAATTATTATGCCATATCCATTATATCAATCAATCAGTCAATCAATCAATCAGTTTATAAAGCGCTATTTCCGCGATGTTCAACAGCACTCCTCAATGAATTTTGCAAACAGTTTGGTCTTATGATCATGATATCAACATATATCGCTAAGTACAAAAATTCTTAATTTTTCAAACTGAATATTAATATGCACCGTAAATTGTAGTCATAAACGATAAAATAAAATTTGTGTTTATTATTTTATTTCATTTCATATAAAAAATAATCTGAGTTACGTTAATCAAAAAAGTTACTTAAAATTTTAACGGAGTCAAATTTTAAGGTCATAAAATTTCAAGAAATATAAATCACTTGAACAAAAATAATCAACGCGAATGTAAAAAAATATAACGATTATAACATGTTATCTTTTGATTGATAAAGAAATTGAATTAATTTCTTCATGTCATATTGTTAACATAATCGAAATTCTCGGAATGAGAGCTTTCCTGCTTTTAACATTTGTAGTTTACCTTCCAGTGACTGGGAGTTGATATGAGGCGCGGATCGGACTTTGGATCGGGAATTTGGCTGACTTGATGTAGTCTATTCGATCTAGCAAAAATTTGGTGGAAATGAAATTATTTCGTTTGTTTATCCATAGGAATACACCTATTACCATTAGCCAACAATTGCATAAAGAATTGCTATCTGCTGCAGAGCTATCATTCAGCAATGCAGTTCTCATGTTTATTCTCAACTCTAATATCTGTACATAGAGCCACAGCGTTGACGATTTAAGGAAAGCATATATTTTATCTACAGCAGTCGATCTTGGAATTACTGGTAGTGTTTGGCAGAAATTGCCAGACAGTAGTATCATTGACCCTCCAAAAAAACATGGGTTCTTGCAAAGATCTTTTATAGTTCTATATAATGCTTTTATAATTTTATTCAATGCTTCTAATGCTTTGTTGTGAGCTATTCTGCATTTTTCTCAGATAATTATTTTACTTGTTGTCTCAACTTTTGCCATTGATGAGTGTTTTGCAATGTTACATGTGGGCTCTACAGTGCTCAGTCGATCTTGGAATTACTGGTAGTGTTTGGCGGAAACTGCCAGACAGTAGTATCATTGAGCCTCAAAAAACTTGGGTTATTGCAAAGATCTTTTATAGTTCTATATAATGCTATTATAGTTTTATACAATGCTTCTAATGCTTTGTTGTGAGTTATTCTTCATTCATCCCAGATGATTATTTTACTTGTCTCAACTTTTGCTTTTGATGAGTGTTTCGCAATGTTGCATGTGGGCTCTACAGTGCTTTGGTTGGGTCACAAATCAAACTTGACAATAACATTTCATTTAACTTTTTTTGTCAATTTTCTTGAAGCATCTGACACATTTAATGACATTACCTGTTGACATGGCTTGAGAAACCAAACGAAGTAGCAATGCAGTGGCCGGCGAGATGGCTCAGTGGTTCAAATGCTCCCTGAGTCAAACCTTTCAATGGCTATCATATGCTCAGCGTATATGATGCGGTGCTTGCGCGTGCACATAAAATACATGTACACGTCGTGTGAAAAGGATAAACAGCCTTTGCGGCAAAGATGGCTGCTTCAGATCAATAGCTGAAGACATGAAGAACATAATGAAAAAGATATATCAATAATATATCTGTAACATAGTAAATGGTTCTGCGTATGTCAGAGCTACAATAATAAAGACTAAAAAAAAGAGTAGTCTCTATAGCTTCAATCATATTTCATGCAGCAAACGCAACAGATTATCAACATCAACGGTTCAAATTACTACATCAGATGCACCGCAAGGGTTGATCTTTTGAGCAATGTTATTTTTGATCTACACTCCACATGTGTTTGATATAATTTACTGTCATGGTTTGGTTGGCCATTTTTGATGATTTCCAATTTATTGCCTCTGAACCCTCGTCTATGTTTCATATTCGGAAAAAAATTCAAAGTTAAAATCATTGATTGATTGACAAAAAGACTTTAGTTTAACCAATCCAAAACACAATTTTTTTTTCTGTTGGCACGCGGCAACACCTTTAAAAACTGATATTAATTCAATTATCATTAAAAATATAAAAATAAAGTTTTGTTTTACAGCAACAAGTCTTGGCTTCATAATTGATTTGAATTTGTCAATGCATGGTTATATAAGAACTCTGTCCAACGCTTGTACTTAGCAACTGTATAAATTGAAAAAAGTTATCTGAACTGAAACATCCTGACAGAAAGTAAAAAGATTAAGGATAGATGGACTGAATATATAAAAGACTTGTTCACAGACAAGAACACATACAAAAAAGAAACGCTTGAAATTTTGAAAAGCAAAAAAATAATCAATGAAGAAGAAAATGAAATAACGAGAAAAGAAATTACAAGAGCAATAAGTAAAACAAGAAGAACAACAAAAGTACAGAGAAGGATGGTATTCCGATAGAACTGATAAGAGCAGGAGGACAAGTCGTGTGTAAAGAAATTCACACAATCTGTCAAGAAATTTGGAAAAGCGGCCAAAAGAATGGTGCAAGTTAGTTCTGGTTATGCTGCCAAAAAAGGGAGACCAAAAAAACAGTAATAATTACAGATCAATTGCACTAATTCTGCACATATGCAAGATCATGCTGGCCATCATAAAAGAACGACTGGAAAAGGTCATAGAGCAACATTTGCATGAAAAACAAGCAGGCTTCAGAAAAGACGGAAGCACGAGCCAACAAATTCTGATGTTGAGAATGCTGATGGAAGATACAAAAAGTAGCGGTCAGACAATCTATCATTGCTTTGTTGATTTTATGAAAGCGTTTGATCCTGTCTGGCATGAAGGTTTGTGGGCAACATTAGAAAGTATGGGAACATCAGAAAAGCTGGTCAAAGTACTGAAAGGACTTTATGAAGAATCAAAAATGTCGGTAATAATAGGTACAGAACTTGGGGATTGGATAAAGGCAGACATTGGAAGCAGACAGGGCGATTCAATATCACCAATACTATTTATACATTGTTAGAAAGAGCAATGGAAAAAATGGAAAATTCGGAATTGGGTGGAATTGGCATAGGAAGGAGAACTGTCAAAAATTTCAAGTTTGCAGACGATATAGATCTTCTAGTTTCCAATGAAGAAGGTTTACAAAAGCTAATTGATCTAAAACATGTAGGGGGAAAAGATCAACAAAGACAAAATAAAGGTGATGATTACGGGGAAAGGCAGAAACAATGCGAATTTCAAATGAATCAGAAAAACTCGAACAAGTAGGCCAGTTTGTGTATCTTGGCAGTCTTATAACCTGTGACAACAACTGCACAAAAGAAATTGACAGAAGGGTAGCAATAGCCCATGGAATGTTTGCATCATTGAAGGAAATATGGAAAAGTGGAAAGATATCTATAAAAACAAAGTTGATAATCTTGCGTTTTTCCGAGCTTGCTCTATGCATGTGAGACATGGACAATAAAGAAAAGTGACAAAGACAGATTGAAAGCATTTGAGATGAAGTGTTACCGAAATTGGTTGGGAATCAGTTGGAGGCAAAAAGTAAAGAACGAAACTATCAGAAATCAACTTGGAAGACAAAATGCGTATATGACAAAGTTATAGAAAAAAAATTTGTGATTTTTTGGACACATTTGTAGAATGAGGGAAAAAAGATTGATTAAGATATGGTACTTATGAAAAAAAAATGGAAGAAAAAAGTTGGTGGACCTGCAAAAAAATGGATAGATGACATTACTGAATGGATGGTGTTGGTATTCTGAATTCAATAAAACTGGCCAAAGATGGAAAAAGTTTTTGGAAAAAAAATGTAAAAAGCATGCTTAGATGTACACCATCGGCTTAGATGTACACCATCCTCCTTTGATGAACAAAGGAGGATCATGGATTGATTGATTGATATCTGAATGTATGCAATACTAGACTATTGTAATTGTCTTTTTAATGGTCTGCGATAATCTACATTAGTTACAGGTAGACAAAACAATTATCTTTACAATTTTAGCGATAATGTTTGTGTTACAGAATGTTCACCAAAGTACTTTGGTAACAAATGTTTGCCAAAAATCAACAATATTTGTCACTGATCGTTACAATTCTTATGACACTAAAGAAAAAAAAACTAAACATGCTGAAATATTACGAAAATCCATGAACTAAAAAATGTTGAAAATTAAAATGAATATAATGTAAAAAATAAATAAGAGTTATTAATAAAAAAAATAATTATTAATAATTAAAATATGAAAATTTGAGGAAAACTTAATAATGAAACTAAACTCTAAAGCGCATTGAAAATGTGTTCCGTGCGTTTGAAAGATGCTTGCGGGACACGACGAGCTCAAATCAAGTTGAAGTCGCATGTTGGTACATCAGAAAAAAAATCTAAATACGCATAAATATTATGCAAATACATGAAATAAATCAGTTGAAAAATAATTAAAATGAATAAAATTTTTAAAAAATGAATCAATATTTATTAAAAAATAAAAATGTAAAAAATATATAATTTGATGAGTTTAATGAAAACCATGGAATTATATAATTCAATGACGGAAACTAAAGAGTGAGATCAGACTCCAAAAATGTGCAAGTATGTGTTCGAGGGCCAGTATAGTTATAAGTATATGCCATGGATATATATAATGGATATGGCAAGTCTCATATGTATATATATATATATATATTCATACATCGGTTAAAATAAATTTTTGCAAAAAATCTTGATCCATAGAACCTAAAACTTCAATGAAAAATTAATTTAAAAAAACATTTAGCTTTTTATCTATGTTTAAAATATCTCTTGTTTTCGATTATCGTCATAGCTTCCGTAGTTGAGTTATTACCAAATGAGAATATCGCTTTAAAAAACTAGCAACATAAGTTGGTAATGTTTGATTGCTAACGTTGCTGGTGTGTTTCAGTTGCGTTGGGCTTTTTTGATACTAATTTCCAAAATTTCAAGTTGCACTGTTATCCCTCACTCTGCTCTGCAATGGATATTCTGAATGAATCACAATCATTCATTTATTCATATTAATTTGTCTTTACGTTTTATTTAATTATTGTTATAAACGTGATATGTAAATTCATGAGAATGTATGTATACCAAATGTATGACCGCTCATTATTACTGTAATAACAATAGCTGACAATCATACATTGACAATTGACATTGACAATCAGGACATTGTGACATTGATAAGGAGATCGAGATTGCGGTGGTATGGACATGTGTTGAGAAGGGATGAAAGGGTCGGGATTAGGCGAGCGTTGGAGTTCGAGGTTGAAGGAGTGGTAGGAAGGGGTCGTCCGCGATTGGGATGGAGAGAGCAGGTGGAAAAGGACAGGGTGAAAGCGGGGTTGCGTGATACTGAGGCGAGTGACAGATGTGGATGGCGTCGAGGTGTATTTCGGTTTCATCATAGGTAGCCAAACGGCAACCCCCGATCTCGGGGAAAATGTCGTCTAAACGTGTGTTGTTGTTGACAATCATACATTTGTGTACCTTTTTTTGAATATATAATCATCTGAAGCTGAACCAAATTTCATAAACTTTTATGTTGTCTCTTGAATTTGCATTGTATATATAAAAAATGGGAAATGTCTTCATTCAATTTTAATAATTTATAGTTATTGATAAAAACCAGAGTAAATTAATGATTAATCTGCCTATATATTGTATGCCAAGAATATGAAATGGACTGTTTTTAGCAAACTGTGTTAATTCTACATTTAATCAGTGATAAAATAAGTAAAATTTAAATAAATTTTTTAAAATGTATTTTCAATAATTTACTTCTAGTGATTAAAATAAGGATAGTTTTATATTTAAGTGCAAATCATTTATGTAAGTCAATGGCAACTACTTTGACAACAAAGAGACAAATGTTTAAAAATATTATATTAAAAACTGTAAATGATATGAAATGATATCTTTTTTCCATAGAAACTTCCAATTGATATAGCATTATCTAAAGTTTATCTCAAAAAAAGTTATATTTTGTATGAAAAAATGAATTAGATAAAAAAGTGAATTATTAAAACTGACAAATAATGTAAGGAAAGGGTTAAAACTGATAAGTTTACATTCTGGAATGAAAAAAGTTGATATAATGATGACTTGAAACTAGTTAATATATTGCTGCGGTAAAATTATGATGTAGATTAATGATTATATTAATAATTATTGAAATATCTGATCATATTTCAATGATCAGATATTTACAAATGCAGATGAGAATGCAATAATAAACTCTTGCAGAAAATGCATGTTTAAATTGAAATCAAAAATTTGATAACATTAAATGATTGGATATAAAGGCATACATGTTAGGTAAAGAAGGTCTTGAAAATAATTTTGTTAGTTGATGAATATATAAAAAAGTATAATGAACATTTTTCAATATTGGGGTTTAATTTATATTTACAACATTAAAAATTTTTTGTTGTCAGCATAATTTCAAAAACTAATTATGAAAGGAATGAAAAATTGAAGGCCAATTGTTTAATGTTTTGAATGAAAAAACAAATTCAAAAACAATGAAGAATTTAAATAATTGTTGATGCATTATTTCAATTTGTTATATAATAGGGCATTCCAAAAGAGTAAATCTTAATTCTTAACTAAGCGGAATCTCCAACATTCTAAAAAGTAATCCATAAGTTCATAGTTCGATTAAATAAATGTAAATTAAATAATTTTTCTTTTTTTAAGACTTTTTAAGAATCCATTTTTAAAACATATATATAAAATATAAAAAATTTATAATGTTTAAAACCAATTAATATATGTATACATATAAAACCAATTAATATAAGCATATATGTAAAATTTATAATGTTTAAAACCAATTAATATATGAGTACATACACATATATACATACACATAT